CATTGGAGAGTTCGTAAGCTTTTGTTCTTCTTACGTACTACCGAAAATCTGAAGTAAGTTTTCCTGTGTAGTAATCATATAATGCTGCCCGGCGTAAAATGTTAAATATTCTTCGATTCTTAAAATATACTGACGCATGAATCATTGACATCCACTCAGGTTCTACTTTTATATGAAGAAATACAAGCTTGGTTTTATGTGATTAATTTTAGTGCCTAGATACAATGATTCTGAAGATTTCTTTGAGCCCTAGACTTTGTATAAAGATGATAATGATACTTAGAATAGAATGAAGGATCTAATCTTCTTTTAGAGCATGCCTGGGTATTGTAGTTTCGGCTTAGGCTTGAAAAGTCAAGCCTAAACCGAATGAGTGGATAGTCGTACCGACGAAATATTTCTTCAAACATTCAGATATCATTCCAAATTAAATATCCTTTACAAATGGTCTATATTCAAGATCGACGTTATATTTTACACGAAGGAATGTCGAGGTACAGAACACGAAGATTGGTGAATAATTGAATTATACAAATAATGGAAGAGAGTGAAGCAAGTTAATTAAATAATTCAACTAAAACCAGATTCAGTGCCGGCTGAAATCTGAAATTGTGACTTCAAGTATTCACGAAATCGTTAAACATTACCGGAGCCCACTGGGAAATCATATAAAGAACGTTTCTAATTATTCTTTAGGAATAATAACCCGCATCCTTCAACTAATTTTGTTAACACCAAGAGACAGATGTTAGGTAGGACGTTTACTTTAAATATTTTAACCTAATTCCTCGTATGTGTAACACTAATAATATGATGGTCACTCATGCTGCAGGCTGCATGCCAAAATCCTCCTTTGGCTTTAAGCAATACCTCTCAAATTTCTGTGTCCTTACATAAACGGTGTCCTATAATTCCTACGGGCGACAGTGCCCTGTGTAACTAAGGTTGCCTAATTTTGTACACTCGGTTAACTCGTAAACTGGATGGCATGGTAATAACAAGAGGGAAAGGATTTTGTGCCTTTAAAAAAGGGTAATATTATTTTAACATGATAATGATTTTTATGGCACAGGTCGGCAAAGGAATATACGGATCACCTGTCAGCGAGCGGCTGCCAAGTGCTTCGGATTTGAACGTTTGAGGATTGGTCATTGGAAGGAGAGAGAAAGGATTGGATTGGTTATGCTGGATTAAGCATTTAGGTGCTTAGTTGCTTCATAAGTACATATTTAATGAATAGATTATAATTATCAATAATAATTTCTGTGCTACTAGTGTCTGCCGCTAATACACGTACAACAAAAAAAAAACAAGTTTTTTATGTCTTCTTAATTAAAAGAAACAATTTAATGGATGAATCGTTAATCTTTATATATAAAAATGGATCGCAAAATGTGTTGGTAAGTGCATAACTCAACAACTACTGGACCAATTTTGCTAATTCTTTTTTTGTTGTGTTTGTTATTGTCAGAAGAAGGTTCTTATCGAAGAAAATATTAGAAAAGTAGAGGGAAAGATTAGGAAAAATTGACCCTTTGATAGCGAGATAGTTGGACCTGTGCGAAGCGGGGGCGGGCCGCTAGTAAGGTATGAAACTACTATAATGGTTTTGTTTAAAAAATCCGCTTACAAAGGAACTGTTGTCAGAACCCTTTTACATGGCTGAAATAATACAGGGGTCAACACAAGATTCCGCGCACAAGTTCTTTGGAAATCTTGGGTGCAGATATTATGTTCAATTATAAACACCAAGTGTGAGCTGGTAGTGATAATTTATTCAATCTACTAATTGATTACTACATAACCCGGGTTAGCCAGTCTGTTTAGACGATACAGGGGTCATTATCCCAGCTTCCTTTGAATACACATACCGTATTTAGTAATTATTCACAACGTCTGATTGCTGCTTAGAAGTGGAGAATTATTCAACCAGCGGCTGTTTGCTGTAATTATTTGTGGTCAAATCGCAAGACGTGTGTGGAGAGAAAATCATTGATCAGTAATTGACATGTGGGTGTAAAAGGTTTTTGTACTTTGGAGCTACTAAAATGTTGGTTTCTTTGTGACTTTTAGAAGAAGCTAGGTGATTTTATTGTTAAAAGTCTAGATTAGTAAAAAATTATAAGAAATGTAGGTAGATCTAGTTTATGATTTAAACATTTTATACATACGGTATTTTCTTTTTTTATATGTGTTTTGTTCTTGTAATACTGTAAATGTAGGTCTGTATAAAAAAAGAGCAAGGGAAACAGTAATCGAAAAAAAGTGTTACGTTAAAAACCGTTTGCTAGTTTGCACACGTTAATTCTCGCAATTTAAGGATCATCTTTTAGAAACTTGGGCAAAAAAAAAATCTTCAGTTATAGTCATATTCTGCGTGGATAAAATCCCTAATAGTCCCTACATGTAGCTAGATAGCCTGTGTCCGAAATCTATGTAATATAAATATCATCATAATAAATTTTAAATGCGAACGTTATAATATAATGAGGGCTTGCTACAGATGTGATATTTTAAAAGAGCTGATTGATTAGAATAATCTTTTAGTTTAAGACGTAAATACTCAAAATACTGCACGAGTATTAAATATTCAGTTGTACTAACGCCTAGCTCAATTCACTAGATACACAAAACACGTTCTGTAATAAAATTCCGAACTGACTTGGGCGTAATAAAACATGTATTACAGAAAACATGGCTGACATAAACACAGTTATTTTTAATTTCGTTTGTCTCCGACTGCGAAAATCAAATTAAGTACTTAAATAGGTAGGTAGGGAGAAAATCCTTGTTGTAGGGAAAATGCGAATATTCTGTCAAAACAAATTGTGTGTAATCTTTGGGCGACCACCTCCCCGCAAAAAGGTGAGTTTCCTCCATTATGAATAACTTCCACAGCGTTCATCTAATTTAACTTGTAAACATTACAATTTAGTCGCCCATCTCGACTTGATGCCTCCAAAAGTGCTATTCGCTACCTTTATTACAGGAATTTTTATTTCGTATCTCGTTTTTGTTCGCTTGTTATTTCTTTATGAGTAACCTCGTTTACGCTACCCGAAGCTGCGAAATAAATTTTGATAGTCGTTTTAAGTAATATAAAGATGGATTTGTTACTTTTTGCAATTATAGTTTTCTGAGATAAGGTTTAAATTAAAAATAACGTTGTCGTCGTGGTGGTCCCTAGGTTGAGGAGCCCGCTTCTCATGCATGAGGGTGTGGGTTCGAAACCTGGCAAGTACCAATGTGACTTTCCGAGTTATATGTACTTTCTAGGATTATTTAGACACCACTGACGCACGGTGAAGGTAAACATCGTGAGGAAACCTGGACTTATAATTTCTAATTATAAGTTTCAAATCGCCAACCCACATTACGCAAGCGTGGTGATTAATGCTCAAACTTTCTCCGTGTGAGAAGAGGCCTTTGCTCAGCTGTGGGCACTTATAGACTGATGATGATTAACACAACATTATTATGTATATTCAGGATTAATATCGCAGAATAAATTTAAAATATAGGTAGAAGATGTAAATAAGTTTTTGCTTTAGTTGACTCTGCAAATATGAGAAAGCATACAGAGTATCCAGCTTTCAAAACATCAAGAGCTTTGTTTAATGACGTCAATGTTACACCGAAGCATACATTACAAAGTAGCTTGCACCCAACCGAACATGGTTTAGCGTTCAATTGGATACTGGAAATACCTTTTGTGCAAATTGCCCTTTACCTAGGTCTCTCACAATGTGACCGACGCAAGCGAGCGTTCGGCTAACATCGCAGTTAATGGTGTAATTGCATCCGTTACAGACGGTGTGCAGCGTGGCCTCTGTCTCTGTGAAGGTGCATTGTTAGTTCCGACGATTGGCCCCCAGTTCATGATGTTCCTTTAGATTTGATCAGTTTTGTACTTAATGAACAAGATAATGATAATGTTATTTTTTTGCTAAAATAAATATTGTTTGGAGTCGAAGAAGTAGCCTTTAATAACAGCACTTGCATCGGTGATAGCATATATTATCTTGAATGAACTAAACTGACATACCTATAGGAATTTATACTAGGAAACGTCAATCAAAAATTGATAAAACTAAAAGGATTTACCTGTGCTAAAGGAACGGTTTGCAAAAATAACACTACTCTCTACAGGGAATTCGGAATCAAGATCGTAAACTGTCTATTGAAACAAGCGATACCTTTTGCCGTTAGTCGTGGCTTACGTGTGGCCGGCAGATGGCAATATTGGCTATCTCTATGCAACGAGGCACCTACAAACGTTACGGTCTGCCAGCATGTTGCATTCAATTTAGTTAAACTGAATGAAATATTTTTGATACATTTCAATGACATGGGAAATATGCTATGCCTGTCAATTTTTTTATTGAATTAGTCCAATTATCTTGTCTATTTGTTGAAAGCAAGCCTGGTCAGTTTATGTTTATAAATTGTTAATGATTTTGTTTCTATTGTTTACATGTAGAACGGCATATACAATAATAATTATTGTTAAAATACCAGTTTATATAAATTAAAAGTGGTAGTCTGTGACATTTAATAGCAGTATGTATATAGTGTGAAGGCAAGATTACATAAATTCAATTTGGGCACCTCAGAGAGCTTTGCAAATTGCCTCGTCGGCCAGCAAGTGGAGTTAACCCTTTGATGCTGATCGCTAGCGTCATTCCGTCACTCGAACACTCTAGAAGCTTTGAAACGCCCCATAGATATTCAGTCAAAGTAAGCCACGTCACGTTCGAAGGGGAATTTAAAATTCTCAATAGACATTTGCCGGACGAACGCTAGACTACTTTGAAATTTTAAAGCGGACTAAAGTGAACCTGGAATCTAGTATTAGAACTTTTATCAGAGGAAAACACAAATTGAAAGGAAGTAAAGAAAAAAAAAATCGGTTAAATAAAATTATATTTTGAAATAATACCAACACATAAACACTTTGTCATAAAATTAAAGATATTGTTAAAAAATAAAGATTACCATTATCACAACACAGTCACGGCATCAGCAGAAGCGTAGATAACTCTCATAGTATTCGTGTATCCGGATCCTTGTCTCCAACCGGAGATGATGACCATTGGGTCTCCGATCCTAACGAAACCTCTCTCGATAGACCATTTGATAGCAAAATTTACACGTTTTTCAAGGTCAGAAGCCCAATCAGTCTCTGGCTCGTCTAGAAAAGAGCATTTTTTATTAGAATAGTGCCGATAGCGCCAAGAAACTTGTATGCATAACTTCCTAAGGTATGCTGTCATAATTAATCATTTCGAATATTTATAAAAAGAATTGAAATACGGACACACTAGAATTTTTTCGTGTCACAGACATATTAAATCCCGACTAGGAACAACAGTTATCATTATCGTTCATTAATTGCATTTCATGATGTTTCTTATGGATAAGCATGCTCCATTTTAGCGATAGTGGTCGAATAATTTTTCTATTTCTTTCATAATTTATACAGTTTTAGACCGAAGTTTGTATTTATGTGTCAGTAGCCTCGAGTAACTAATAAATTAATATGGTAGTTTTTTCCAGGTTGATACAAAAAATAACGATTACCTAAAATAATTTATTAGTTGCGATAAAAAAGTATTTTCCTTTTGTTGTTTAGAATATATTTTGCTAAACAAATATTGTTCGTAAGATATTTTTAGGTATGTATTTTTATTTATATTTATCGAATTTAAATACGACTGTGTTAATTATATTCGTATTAGTTTCATAAATATAAATAAAAGCAACAAAATTTTATAATATTTTCTTTTTCTTAACTTACCTTCATAAATGAGAGGTACAATTCCTCTCCACAAATGCAGTTGTCGGGCCACCAATCCGTACCTAGTGACCGCTATAATGGGACACCTAGGCTTGAACTTGGCGACAGTCTGAGCAGATTTACCAGAAGTGGTCACGACTATGATGGCTGCGGCTATTGACCTTTGTGCTGCTAATACTCCAGCCATAGCCGCACCTGTTGCCTGGTCACAGGGTAACGGCGTCTGAGAAGTAAATGAAGTAGGATTATAAAATTTGCTTTGTGCTGGCCGAATAAGTATGCTAGATATAAAATGCTATGTAAGGCTTAGTAATGAGACTACGTTTTTAGGTTACCGCGGAGTGGACTCACGATATAACATGTCCTCTGTCAATTTTCCCAGAAAATTAATTTAGAATTTAAAATTAAATAAAATTTAGAAAATTAATTAAATTAAATGTGTTAATCTAGGGTATCTTATCCTATCTATATACCAAATCGGTCCAGCCGTTTTTGTGAGAAATGATAACAAATATACATCCATGTATTCTCACAAAGTTTCACATTTACAATGGTATAATATAGTAGGATATTAGGATTACTTTGTCAATAAAATCATTGAAAACTTGTTTAGTCCAAATACAAGACTCGGCTTCTTTGCAAGTGGCGCACATGGCGGCAACAGTATCTACAGGATACAACCCAACCGATGTTACGGCACAAAGTACGAGGCTGTCAACACCGTCTATGATACAGTTAGCTATGTCGAGGAGTTCAGCTCGAAGTGGAATCTTTTTATCCCTCATACTGCTCAAAATGTGCGCACTCACGGCGATTGGAGCGTTAACCTGCAAAATTGAAAATGTTTCAAATGTAAACATTGAACCGTTAGAAAGAGAGGGTCTATTAGTTGATGATGATGATCGAATTTTAATAAATAAAACGTTTTCCTACTCTGAGAGTTTGTCCAACGTCGTGATGGAAATATCATACGTGATAACCAGAATTGGAACAATTATTTGTGGATCACACAAAGAGTTGTTCGTGTTTGAAAATTAAACACAAAACACGTTGCGCAAACCGTAAATCAAAGAAAATAAAAATAGTCTCCGTAAGATGTTAGGTATCACAAAATTTCTACACGATCAGTTGATAGATTTCTCGTATTTCAGGTAAATAGCGAATCGTATTTAATTTCGTAGGGTTATATGAATGTACCTGACAATGTAATGACCATATGACCGTAGTATCTATTGTCAGCGATTATTATATTATATGGCTGAATTTTTTTTGTTAAGTATATTGAAGACATGCATAGCTGTTGGTAGACCTTATTTTTTAAGATGTTTGTCATCTTATAACTTACTCTATTAGCTCTGGCTATCATATTTTTTTGTGCTATAACTAGCTTGTTTGGTGAAATATCTGATCCCAATTCCTGTCTTGATATCATTATTCCATCTGCTACCTAGAACAACAATATACTTTTTAATATTTTGTTTATATAGTATACTTCAAATTTAAACTCTATTAATAGATAGAATATCTATAATAAAATTATTGCTCGCATACAGACCTGCAAAATAGCATCGAAATTACGAAATCCTTCAATTGTCTGAATATTTGCTACAACAGCAAGCTTCTTTCCTTTTTCACCTAAAATGGCTTTCAGTTCCAAAACGCAGCTTGCTGAGTTCACAAACGATGCAACAATAATATCGATCTGCCCAAAAAAATATGATCAGTAGGAGATAATACATTTTATTTGTCTTATATGAGATATGTTTTCTTGGGTGCGTTGTATACCCATTCTTTTTTTCGCAATACCATCTTTTAATTTTTAACACAGGTATGTTGCATCTGCCATTATATTATCTTTCCAAGGTACGGTCAACAAATTATTGGAGAATTTTGTAACAAATTGTGTATCTTATAGCATTACAATAATATCGGACACTTCTTAAGAAGCTACATAAATCAAAATAACACCAACCTGATTCTGAATCGCCATTTCGATATCAAGTTTATCTTTTTCAGTATAATTCGGCATATTGAGAACGACATTAGGAACGAACACGTCTTTAAACGACCCTAAAAAGCCCCCTCTCTCAATTCTACAAGTTAGTGTCGTAGTCGATATCATTTCCACTTTTAACAGGATTGTCTCATTGTCCAATAGTATAAGATCGCCTTTTTTCATTTGTTCGGCAAAATACATAAAGTCTACGTAAACCGTGTATGTAGAACATCGATCCTTGTACGTTTCGTCTGTTGTCAATCTTACCACTTCACCGGTTTTAAGTTCTACAGATTCACCGTAAGACTGGAATTAAATAGTGGTAAAAACTTTAAATAATAATAAAATGTGCCTTGCTGTTACGGGAATGTACTTACCTTAATTATTTTTATGGAATAGGAGGCAAATGAGATCTCGGATTACCTAATGGTAAGCCAGTAACGCCGCCAACGAGTCAACGTAAGCCTTTGATTTCTAATATATTTAGTATGGTTTCATTTCATTAGTAAAGTCAAAAATATAAGTGGTTAAATTGGACATAATTATATTCTGACCACTAATGAAGTAATAGTTACATACCTCAGCAAGGCGTCCGGTTCTTATCTTTCTGCCCGATAATCTCATAGCTATTGACATTGGATAATTTTTGCCCATCTTAATGCTGTAATTTTTGGCTGCGATTCGAAGCATTTTGATGCATTCCGTGTGTTCTTCTCGGGGCCCAAAGTTCATGTTTAACAAAGCAATGTTCATACCGGCTGCGATCATTTTTTCCAATATTTCAACGTCATAAGTAGATTTACCTGAAGATGGCACCGTATATTTGATCAGGTTTTCGCATTTGCTTTTACATTTATGTTTAAAAATATATGTATCATCTGAATAAATTTTGTATTCAATCCAGAAAATTAAATAATAACAATTAAATACCCATCGAGGCTATGATTCCAGTGAGACGGGTGCATGCTGCTGGCGCTTTGATATCTAAGTTCAATACGTGGTCTAAAGGCGTAGCGGCATTCGCTGCAGCTAACTGCTGCCCTGGTAACTCCATGGCATCATACTGTAAAGGTGAGCATCTTTTGTAATCTATTTTTTGTGTGCTGAGATCTTATTAGATTGATAAAAATTTGATAAAACTATAACATAAAATCGTGAAAATTGTAAAGCGTTAGGTTAAGCATTGGTAACATATACCATCTTTTTTTAAAAAGTCTCCGTTCTTACCTCGCCAAGTCTGCTATCGTGATCAGTTGGCCAAACCATGATCAGTTACTGTACTAAAATTAAATATCTTAATAATGAGTAAATGATAAAAATAAATAATTCGTAAAAACTTGACTATTCTGATATAATTCTAAAAGACTGTTTGACAGACGACAATTTGAGTCGTATTTACATAATGCCATGTGTTTTGATATCTTGCATGCTTTATGCTCAAAGAGTATTAATAGGTATAGGGACAAATACGTCTTTAAAAATCCTATCACATCAGTCGTCAATTTGTTACACTATTTTAAAAGAGGAATAAAAATTATTTTACTTAAATATACACATGAGTCGGTGAAATACAAAACATTATAAATCGCGCAATCTAACCAAGTCATTTTTTACGACTATTAGTCTTTGCAAATCCAAATCCCTTTAGCAAAATCGTGGATAAGTACGTTTACAAAGTCAGGTGGATCAGTACAATCACAATTGGGGGGTAAGCTGAATGATAAACAAGTACCAGAGGCCACAGCTGCTAACAACGACGACAAAAATAAATAAAGCTCAGGTAGATAAACAAAGTCGAGTTTTATTTGTGGTGTAACCATTAGGGGAAAAGATAAACGTGTCAACTTAGGCGAGATGCCTTGTGGCTCTGAAGATTCTCTAGAAAACGCCTTGAGATCTATTAAGTTTTCATATTTTTGGTTAGTTCTTTATTGTGAAGCGATATGTTTTGCAGCTAAATATTTATAGAAGCTTAGATTTCTAATTACCGTTTAAAATAAACGGTATAAAGAAGATATGAGAGCATAGTATGGAAATGCAAGTTCTCACAATTTATTTATTGAAAATCTTACATCACTTGAATTGGAGAAAAGCTCTTTTTTATAAGCAGGATGTACACATGCGACACGCTGACCTTTCCTATGTAAATAAAAGTCCCGTCGTGACTTTAATTTAGAATGTCTCACAATAGTTACTAATCAAAAATCTTACAAAATTAAGAAAATTAAAAATAAACTTTAGTGAAAGGAACTGAATAAAAGTTTCGTGACATTCTTTACCAGTAAAAAAAGTTCCTTCTAGTCCATAATTTCTAATGCTGCTGACGATTTCTACTTCCTCTGATAGTACAACGACGGGCTCAAGAGAGTTTCGATCTATAAAATTTTCGTCCTTCTGATACGTAAACCTTTTGTATTCAGACTTACACCATCTCCCAAAGGCCCACATCAAGAGTCACAATGAAATTCACGAATCGTGATGCGAAAATATATTCAAGTCAAATATATTCCACTTTACGTTGAAATGGTGAATAGGTACAGAAAATACTTGCTTCATATTTTAAAGCATAGCGGTATTCATAAAATCCCTATTTCTTGACCTCGTGATTTTTAAAGAAACCTCAATTTCATTATGTTCTATAGTAGAAATTCTTAACATTGCAGCATTCAAAAGCATTAGAAAATTTGGTTTAAAAAACGAACAATAAAATTGAGGTTGACTAGTATGGAGAAGTGGAATTGAAACCAAGTTCTTTACTATAAATTTAATAAAATAGATGCTAAACAATTAATTTTTTTATCGCCTCAGTTACTATTGTTGTTCACAGTATTTTCTTTACTTCGATTATGTTCTGCACTTTAAGAACTTTGGTATATTTCTTAATAATCGCGCCTTCCAGTATTACTTTAATCATCATTTAATTTTCCAGCTTCACTAAGATCGCCTTTTCCGACTTCACTTGCTGTTTTTTTGCTTTACTTTAATCACTTTCCCAGCTTCACTTGGATACACTTTTCCTGCTTGAATTTGACATCAACGTCATTTAGATCACTTTCCAGCTTCACTTGAATGAACTTTTCCTGTTTCACTTGAATCACCTTTTCCAGCTTCACTTTGATCATCTTTTTCAACGACACTTAGATCACTTTTTCAGATTCACTTGCATAAACTTTCACCTGCTTAGCTTTGATCACCTTTTCCAGCTTAAATTGGATAATTTTTCCTGCTTCACTTTGATCAGTTTTTTCAGTGTCACCTGCATAATCTTTTTCCTGATTCACTTTAATCACCTTTTTGACTGATATCACAATCATTTGTTACCTATTTTGTGTTCGTTTTCAATTTCTTCACGTTTTCGTTCTTTTTTATCATTCATTATTTAGTACACTTGAACGTCTCTTAATCGTCCTTTTTATTTATTTTGTAAATGTTCACTTTACTATCTTGTGTTCTTTATCTGCGAGGCTTGTGTTCTATTTTTTCGTTGATATTCATATCGAAGTATTGATAAGATTTAGGATACCTACAAAATAAAATATCAAGGTTAATTTATATTTGTGTTTCCACTAGCAAAATAGATAAATAACAGAGATTCGTGTCCAACGTAAAAAAAGAAGCTAATTGTAAGAAAACATTGCCAAATTGTGTAAATTGCTTTAATCGCTCGATGGAACTTTTCTTAGATAGTGTTACATTCGAATCTCTTATTGCGAGGACAAAACGAGCTAAATTTGGTATTTTTTATGGGATAATGTAGTGGTCACCTTTTAAAATGCAGTGTTCATCAATAGCTTGCTTATGTGCATAACCGATACAAGATTGTATAGTTTCAAATCTTGTTGCCCCAGATCCACCTATAACAATAGATAGGAATAGTGTAATGAATAACACAAATTTAGTGAAAGGGTGCAGCGGGGATTATACAAACAATCCCTCGACTCGAATCCCTCGGAGTATTCTCCATACTATTAGAGATAGAAAAAGCACATCGAGGCCACTTCCAAACGCAGTGCCATAGGGTCCAGCCGGTGTCACACCTGACTCAATAGATACAATACTTCTTTTTAATTAAATATTACATATGAATGGAGCATAATGTATCATTACCTATTTAATTTCCAATTATGTTTTAAATACACCAACACACATTTTTCATCATACGTAACTTTATAACGTCAACAGCTATTTGAAAGTTAGGCTTAGTGCTTTAACGTTCTCTATTTTATTTTTATTTTAAAAACTGTGCCTTAATTCTTTTTTAAAAATAAAAATATACTAGTTTCTGCTCGGAGCTGCACCCACGTGGTATATTGACAAAAAGTAGCTTATGTCCTATTCCGAAGTGTATCCTATGCCTGTGCCAAATTTCATTCAGATCCGTCTAGCCGTTAAGGCGTGATTGAGTAACAAATATCCAAGCATCCAAACGTACTTTCGCATTAAATTTATAATAAGTAAAAAGTAAGATTTTTAGTTGAATGCGATAATATCATGATTTTATAATTAATAGGAACATGAATGTTCAACTAATGAAGACTTGATTATTTACACTTTGAAGAAAGTTAACAACAATCAGTAGATGGAGATGAGACCGTCTGTTACGACATAGCAAACTTGTGATATTTACACAAACCGAATAGCGTGCATAACATTTTCTCTTTGACAAACCTGTATCACAGATCTTTTCTGGTATGCAAATGTCATGTCCTTTTCTTTCGATGTCTCTTGGCGGCAAATACATATTATTTTACACTAGCTGTTGTCGCGGGGCTTCACTTGCTGCTCGGCTCCTACAAATCGTAGCGTGATGTTTTAGCCTAAATCCTTCCTCGATAAATGTACTATGAAACACAAAAAGAATTATTCGATTCAAACCAGTAGTTCTGAAGATAAGCGCGTTTGAGGATGTGATATGATATAAGTACCTATCGCTAAGCAAAAGCCTCTTCTTACACGGAGAAGGATTGAGCATTAATTCATACTTGCTCAAGGCGAATTGGCGATTTCAAACATATAATAAGAAATTACTTACGATGTTTTCCATCAACGCATATCAGTTCAGTGGTGTCTAAATAATTATAAAATGTATATATATCTCGGAAAAGTCACATTGGTACTTGTCAGGTTTCGAACCCACACCATGCATGAGAAGCGGGCGGCTTAACCTCCGTGCCACCACAACAGGATTAGTTGACATACTAAGAGATAATCAAATAAAATCAAGTGGATATATTTCCAATTTGTCAGTACTCACTGTGTTCGACTTTTCTTAGATACAGTGACTTTGCATACTCGCACTGTATCACAGAAAATGCTTCCTTCAGACCCCTTTTCCAAAGTGATGTAATAATCTTTAAATGAAATCCAACGGTTGGCGATAGCATATTGAAGTGCGAAGTTTATCCTGTTTTGCACAGTATCGGACCACGTCCTGCATGGTGCACCTGTTGCATCATAAAACCAATAATTTTATTAGAAAGTCTTCTTTTACCAGTAATGATAAATTATTATGATCAGGATCAAGAGCCAAATCACGTGCACAGAAAAAATGTACCCCAGACATTAACATTTAACGTAGACATTCGTGTGGATGTTAAATAAAAGCAAATTTACGGTTGCGGGGCAATAAGGTACCGCAGGAACAAAGTGGTTTTTATTCTGTAAGAGTCAGACACTCCTTCTTCCCCACCCTGGTTGAGAAAACCTATGCGATGATTATACTTCTAGGTAAAAATGGTTCAAACCTTTATACAAAAGTGGTATGACACTCCGGATAGCTTTTAATCGCCTTACGGTCCTAGTTGTTGTACTAACTGTTATGACAGAACTGTTTGGTCGAAATAAGCTTAGCAGAGCTACGGTACGACCACTGACAGTGGGTACTATTATAAAATGAGCTTTGGTCTGATTTGCTGCTACAACGCAAGACATGGCACACGCTTCGGCTGCATTCAATGGCATTTTCGTCTGAAATATAAGTACTTATGACTTCTAATTTTCTATGTACAGTCAGGGGTCAAAAATGCAATTGCACTCTACCAATTTTAAAATGACCAAAATATCTTTGTACAATAGAGTCAATGGTTGAGGACTGTTTTAATTTATAGCATAGAATCTAAATTATTGAATAAACTGGCTGTGAACCATTGAACATTTACTAAAAAGAAATTTTAGTCATTTTAAAATTCGTAGAGTGCTATTGCATTTTTGACTCTTGACTGTACGTATTTAGCATCTTAAATATTTGTTTGATAGTGATATATTTAAGACATAGGAAAAAATAAAAAATAAATTAAAATATACCGTAAAGTCCTTACCCGTGACATTAGATCCCAAAACTCGCTTTTATCAGTACACAGAGGTTCAACATTACAACATAAGTTATTCAGACTTTTTATTGCCTCGAACACGTTGTTCATATCAGTTGTTTCATGGAGGCATAAACCAGTTGCTCCTTTTAGAATGGCGTTCGTCACATCGGATATTTCTCGAGTGCTTGCAATGCCAGTTGTAAGAATTTCATTAAAAATCCAACCAGAAACGTAGAATGGCTTGCCCGCCTGAAACAAATCAACTCCCATATTCTTCAAGAGCTGGCAACACTCTTTTAAATCTAGTACTACACTGGAAGAACCGATTGTTTACCATCCAGTGATCGGTTTGGTAGTTTACCTGTCCAATTGCAGTAAAAATCAGTGTCAAAATCCAATTGGCTAATGGGATTGAATAAAAATCTCTACCTCACGACATTTTGCTGCTAAAACATTTTGTATCCAACCTATGCGACTGCGCAAAGCAGGTTCCACTTCATAAGTTAGATATTCTCTTGAAAGTAAAATACCGTCAGTTTCCTGAAAAAATATTATATATTATAATAAATCAAAGTCTTTGAGATTACCTCCTAAATTAACTTATTTAATACTTACTTTAACAATCTCATCTATGTTCATATATCCCTCTTGAGTAGATATTCCAGCTATAATTAAAGGCCTCTTGTGTTTAGTTCCTATAGTTTTTTTTATTTTAGTGATCGTTTCAACGTTACGTGGGTAATTTACAATAAGCATGTCCATCTACAATAAATATCAGGTTTTTATTTATTCATTATTGTAACACGAAAATATTTCAAAAATAGTATAGAATTAGATTAAAATGTTTAAGTAATTATACAATAGATAAGATAAAATTTCATACCTGGTATTCCAAAGCAAACTTGATCATATGTAAATCCGTTTTTGAAATAGATGGTCGTGTTAGGATGGCACCCCTCATGAACACATGAGCAAAATTTTGCAAATACCCACCCTTAGTGACAGTACATTGTACTGATTTCTCATGCTTATCTGTGCACACCATAATAATTTCGTCTCGGTCAATGTTTATTTCCATCCCCACTGTCACATCAGATATTAAATAAGGATCATCAACGAATATTTGCGATTTATTACATTTATCAAATTGTGATACTTCATTAGTTAAAATAACTTCTGAATTCTCTTCAATCCATATTTCAGACACTTGTTCCTGTTGGACAATTTTACGTAAGATGGAAAAGAAAAATGATTTGGAATTAACATTTATGAGATGTATCTGGTCAAGTATATAATAGTCTGAGAAATTAGAGGGAATTACGGATAAGTTTTAAACGCCCTTAGAGAGGAAGGGCTTTGTTATGATGCATTTTACCAACTGATAATGATAAAAACTCAATTCGAAACGTACCTCCGAATTATTTTCTTCTAGGATTCCAGACTGCACCATACTGGTCTTTAGTTCAATAGACGTACTATAAGGCCATTCATAAAGACCGTATTTTGCAGCCAAAAATGATGCAGCCTTGCCAAATTTTTTAATCATTTTAACATTATCTAGCGTTGTACTGTGATATGTCTTAAATCGTACCACATTAGTGCCTATTTCCAACAATCTTTCGACATCAACGTCTTGTATTTCTGTATCATCTGTAAAATTGTACACATACTCTCTTCATTATTATACTTTGTTTTTTATGATCTTTTTAAGACTTATTTGCATGTGCATGACTTCCCGACGTCCCGACTTAAACTGGTCCAAGATTTGAAAAGTACACTACTCTAATATTAAGTTCCGATATTATGCAAAAAAATCCCAACTCAACTAATTAATGTTGTTATTTTAATAATTCATCGTATTGAAAAGTCAACATTATTTATTTTTGACCTAAGAAACTAGTCAATAAACATCAACTTTCTATTATCGATTTCATTTAAATCCTATAGTTTGTGTATCACTGGGACCTAATCTGATGGCAAGCTATTGGACAGTCCACGGATACCTTCATCACCAGTGTTAGCCTAGTGCGTTGTCGACCTTTTGGACTTACTAAACATGCAATGTTATTAACTCGTATACTGCATACCTATCTGATTACTAATTGTTATTTCCTATGTAATGTGCAGCTATAGATAAGGAAATTTCACATAAAATTTAAAGAGCGAAACTTAATCTGGACACTGCCGATGCGGCTGATGTTCAAGCCAGGTTTGATAGAGGAACGAGCAGGACAGTAACTCGATATCAGTATGTCCCAGGGTGGCGGGTCAAGCGCAAATAATGTATCTCGGTCTTAGTCTCGAGCAGGAGAAGGTACGGGGTGATTTTAGTCAGTAAGAGTCTGTAATTTGCTCTCTCCATAGCGGCGAGCGGGACAAGTCATTAGTCATCACTTAGCAATGCCATAGCAGTTCAAAGTATAAAACAAAGTCGCTATTTCTGTCCCTGTTTATATGCCCGAATCTACAACGCAACGGATTTTGGTGCGGTTTTTTCATTGATAGAGGAAGTTTTGTATTGGATAATAAGTAACCAAATAATGTCCGTCCTTTAATGGATATTAAATAGATGCTAGTTATGTATAAGTCAAACCGATAATCTGGTTTGTAGACCACTTTGTAATTAAATTATCGGCTTTATTACAAAACAAGGTTTTTCTTTAGTGTATGTAGGTCTAAACTATTGGGCGAGTTTATGCATTTCAAATTCAATTTGAAGATGAGAGTAAGATTCAAAATATTGAACATGACTCAATTGTTTAAACCAAGACTAAATATAAATATTGTTTTGTATTAAAGTCTTACAGGTATATAGTAAATGAAAAAACATAGCTGCTAAATAGGATTTAAACTCAACTCGAAAATTATTACCTATTGTAACCATTAGCAAGCTTCTCCTATGTTCATAGGGCGGTCCCAAAACGTGTTTTACATCAGTAATGTCAATATTCTCAAATTCAATTTTATCATATATACTATCCATATCCGATGCAATATATTATCAACACTAAAATAACTAAAAAGTAATAGTAACTAGAAAAGAGAGTAATTATAAATACAAAGTAACATTTCCAAAAAGCTCGCTCTTTCAAAATTGACAATGATACTGCTTGTCAGAATAAATTAAGGAATGAGCCACAACGAAGAAGGTTGGTTGATTGTAAAATTGGAAATCATATTTAACATTTTTAATGTTTTTTTATGGGATAGGTCAGCAATCGAGTAGACGCATTACCTGATGGAAAGCAATCGGCGCCGCACATGGACTCCCGCAACACCAAATGAGTTATGAGTGCGTTGCCGGTCTTTTGAGGACAAGATTTTCGGATATTTAAGGATTGGGGAAAAGGGGAGGGATTGGGCCTCCGATAACCTCAGTCACAGGGCGGAACACAACGCTGTGGTTGTTTCACGCCGGTTTTCTGTGAGGCCGTTGTATCACCCGGTTGTTCCGGTCGAGCCGAACCAATCGTGCTAAAGCTTGGCTCTCTCACACTTTACCCCCCCCCATTCCCCTTACGTACTTACAGCCAAGGTTAAAATAGAAACCTATGACTAAGACTTAACCGCCCGTCTGTTCAGCACAGTGTTTTTTGGAGTGGTAAGTCATTCTATGACTTCTCTTCTATTAACCCTGCCCGCGGTGTATCAATTTGTTACTCTGCACCTGCCCATTACATTAAAAATTTATAGATAACAAAATAAAAAAAAATCATCAACATATTATTGTAATCAAATGAAAGGTGGATGTTTGTACATGGCCCATAAAAAAACTTCCAAGTTCCTATATAAATGTTACGTGCCTGACTATGCGGGCTTGGGTTACGGGATTGGATGAAATGAAACACTAATACCGGTTTTCAGACTTTCTATTGCACTTAAGTTACAGCGTCCACGGAGTTAAGTTATCGGCGTTCCTCTCCAGCAGAGTCCGGCCGACTGACACAACTTTGCCGTTCACGCTGACTTAACTCACTTAACTGACTGCACTGCACTTCACTATTTCACTCACTTTTCTTCTTTCTCACTTCTTCCTTTTCTTCCGAATCGCTTTAGACTTAGAACTCAACTGCCAGCGGTGAGCCGCAGTTCCGCTTATATACCCCCGGTCAGGTTCTGGAACATTCAATTTCGTTATTCTTTTTGATCGTCATGCCTCCAGAACCTTCCAATAATTTCGTTATTCATTTTTATTTATTCTCCTTCTCGCTCTTTAATTTTTCATTTCTTTCACACAAATAATTCCAGAAAGTTCGACAAAACTTCTATAAACTAAAAAACTTCATGTTTACGGCGGGACTCGAACTCGGGGTCTCTGTGGTGTAATCCACACGCCTTACCGATTACACCAACTCGTGTTGACAATTCACGACGAAATATACAATCTCTAGGCAACGTTTGACAACCATCCATTGACGTCATGATGTCAAAGAGTTTGAACCACTTTTCCGTCACATAAATATACGCAATAGAACCCAAAACAATGATTTTTAGAATTTTTGTTTGTCCGTTTGTCTGTGCGTTTGTGTGGGCTTATGTCCAAAACGGCGTAACCCAATTTAATGCGGTTTTAACTATTGCGTTGCTGTTTGCTGAGATTGTTTGCATTTACTATTAGTTTTGTTTATATCGGTTCATAAATAAAAAAATATGTCAATCTACAGAATTGCATCATCACATTGAACTCAAACTAAGGCGAAGGCGAAGGCGAAGGCGAAGGCGAAGGCGAAGGCGAAGGCGAAGGCGAAGGCGAAGGCGAAGGCGAAGGCGAAGGCGAAGGCGAAGGCGAAGGCGAAGGCGAAGGCGAAGGCGAAGGCGAAGGCGAAGGCGAAGGCGAAGGCGAAGGCGAAGGCGAAGGCGAAGGCGAAGGCGAAGGTGGTAGCGCGTTCAAACACAAACTCTCCTATCGAATACTAGTAGACATTAGGAATTAAACTTGTGTCACTGAAATATTTGTTAATATTGTAGTGACTATGGACATGGACAATCATCCTTTTCTTCAAAAAATTTGTTTTTAGGATCTTAAAGGATTAAGATGCAACACTCAATTTTATAGAATTTATAACTTTATTCACACAATTACACGTATCTAATGTCACAACATATGTCATCCATATGACATAGAAGATGCTTTGTGATGTACCTGAAAAAAAAATTGAAATATAATAATTGTATCTTTCCAAAAGGCCTCTTCTCCAACGGCGTAGGTTTAATCACCACGCTTACTTAAGGTGGATATGCGATTTCAAATAGTCAAAAACTAACAAGTTTCATCATGATCACAGTTATTATGGGAGAGCTAAGCTTCGGTACAAATGGGTCACCACAACTGGAATGTTACGGCCTCCTTTTAAACCGGCGTTAAAATAACAACAACGTGATGCTTTGCCGTATAAGTGAGGTTGCCGGAGGCCCAATTGTTTCCCTACCCCATGCGTCCCCTGTTCCCAAATCTCGAAAAAAGCAGGCAACAAACTCGTAACTTGTATGGTGTTATGGGTGTCGATGGGCGGTATCGATTGCTTACCATTAGTTAAGGAAAAATAGAGACTTTGCCAATATACATTTTTATTAGTTTTACGTACCAGATAAGTGTGTGACACTTATCGGAAGTAAGTTTTCCATTCGATTTAGATCTTGACACGATGATTATTACATGCACATATGTTATCGCAACACAAAGAAGTTTGAAGGTGATGGATTTTCATTTGTCTAAAAATAAGAGGAATTTAGCGTAAACAGTGGTTCTAGATGATAATAATGGAAGGATAACATGCAAGAAGCTGAATTTAAATATCATTTAGGAACCAAATTCAATTTATGTTTCGGTACCTTTACTTGTATTTATTGGACATGCACTTATACAAAACACGTTAGTCCAACAGTTACATACCATTCGTAGATAACCCAAAACTGAATGAGATAGGGTGTACCACTACTACTAATGTTTTCAATAAATCCTGTTTTGACTTGAGAAGCTAGTGTTAAAGGCCAATTGGAGACATTATATTTCTCATAGTGCCATTAAACATTAATTGGTTTATAGATGAAAATGTTTGTAGATGAAAATGTTTAGTTTTCTGTGAGAAAATTCATCTTGATTCCTAATACCCGAAGTCCAAATTTAATGAAATTATTCATATCAATCTCTGATAACACGGAATTGCCTGTGAAAAAAAGAGTTAATTAAACGTTTTCTAACTCATAATTTTATTGAAATTACTTGAAGTCACCACAATTTACTTCTTTAATGTAATTAATTTAAATCAGAATCATAGTCAATAAAATCAATATTAATATTATAACTTTACATACGTACTGATAAAAATAATAAATGGAATTGTTTTCTGAAATTATGTCTTCGCATATTAAGGTACTGCTTACTCGTATGCGGCGTACGGGTTTTGGCTTCTCGAATAGACATTGTCTTCTGAAAATTAAAAATAGCCGTTTTCTATGTTTAATTTAACATCACATGGCTTAATGGCTTTTATTATTTTATTAAAAATGACCACTTACATCGATTATGTTTTCAGTTGTTAATAATATAAACAGTCTATAGCAATATTTGAAATAAACGAAATTGGCCACAAACCTCATTGAATGCATTGCAATGGAATGCCTTCTATTCCCATTCCTTAAAACGAACCTACTAAAAAGGCTGGCAATGCACCTTTAACTGTCAACCTCTAGCGTTTTAAATGTCAATGAGCGGCACAAATCGCTTACCATCAGGTGATGTATGCACAATGCTTGGGTGACCCTTTATCTCATAAAAATATTGAGCGCGATCCCAAAGGCTACGATAGGTCTTATCGAGGAAAAACGAAAAATTTTCCGATAATTTTAACCTACAATGAAGATCTATAAATTAATAGCAATTCAGTCTAAGCTATTTACCTTTTACCAACAGATGGATACCAGATCCCGTTTTATAAACGTGTTAGATTTGTTAACTATGAAATCACGTATTTACTGCTATCATAATAAAATAAAAAAATTAAAGGTATAAAAATAAGAGCATAAATAAATAATACATTATATAAAATAATCAAAATATCAAATCTAAAATAATAAAATGTAACACGATAAATAATAATACATTACAAATAATAATGACACTTGAATGACATTGTCATCATAGTCAGTCAAAGGTTACAGAGCAATTTAATTTCTGCCAATACTGAAAAAATATTAGTTGCGTTTGAATAAGGTTCATTTCTGCAATAGCGAATTTATGGCTAGTTTAAGTAGCTACGAAGTATGAGATATTCATTATCTCTATGGACAATAATTATTTTTGTTTATTTCATAATTCTCTTAGTACTGAAACTAAGTAACTGAAGTTACGAATAAATTACTTGTATAAATTAAAATTGCCTCACTTATATTATTTAGTCGAGCCTCCAAAAAATCTCATAAGATTTTGTAATTTCTTAACGACATGCCAACGTAAAATTGTTCAAAAAAGAAAATATCAGCAAGAAATTTTCATCAAAATGCTTACAAACGTTGTCAACGTTTCTCGACCATTCTTTTCTTATTTGTACAGTTTGCGGCAAGCTAATGGACAAACAAGGGTCGCGCCAATGTTGATTTTCAGTTAGACCGTGCAAGAACGCTTGTATCTTACCGAGATTTATTTGCGTCGCAAGCGTTTGTTGGATGTGTAACTTTGCTAAGAAAATGTTATATTTAAGTATTATCTTTTTTACAACAGCTTTAAAGTTATTAGACTCGAAATCTATACAGGTAAAATTTGTAGGTTTGTATGTTTGTAAGTTTGTATGTAGGGGTAATCTTTGGGATCGCGTGTCAGATTGGCAAAATTTTTTCACAGATAGATATAGAGCTACAACGCTCCTGAATGCTATAGGCTATAAAACTTTCCGCTACGATCAAATGGAGCTGAGCAGCAGGTGAAACCGCGCGAGAGTAGCTAGTAATTAATAATCGTCAGTTTTGTTATTGTTTGAAGTCCTGGTAAAACTAAGGTTAAAAGCGTTTTGCATGATCACTATTGGTGCCTACCTAATTTATAAATGTTATATAAATAAATATTATATTTCAACTGGGGCTACGAGTGAAAGCGCGGCCCTGGCCCGGAAGAAAAGAAAGAGAATGGTGGTTTTTAGTCCGTTAAAATCTGACGGTTTCTTTTACTTCACCCAGAGCGAGTAACGTCATTTGATGATTGCTCCTTGATGATTTTGGATGCAATAAAATATAAAAAGCAATCAAACTATTGTGACTGATAATGAATAAAAATATTTTTACTTTTAGCAAAATTTGACGCGATGTAACCTAATCAACCACAACACAGTATCGTATAAATTAAACAAAAAAAAAAAAAAAAACTGTCAATAATTCTATTTATGTATTAAATATAGCCAGTTGTTAAGTTCCCAATTATAATGGTTCAAATGATCAACACCTTAACTTGAAGTGTCTACAAAAATATTACCATAACCATCATCCCTAATATTACCCTTTTATCGCTTATTACCATGTAACAATGGTACCCTCGCTTACCTACTCATATTAGCAAAACTAATTATACGACACAATGTACGGGCCCCGCAGAAAATTCCTCTGTAATTCGCCTAATGTCTTAATTTCCGCCAATTATCGTCATAAATATTTATTAAGAAAGTAATTATGTTTTAACTTTATTAATAATTTTAACTAATTAGATTATCTTTAGGTGAATTTAAATTATATTTTTTAAGCCAAGGTAGGTAATTGTGAATTCAATTTAAAATGTTTTATTTTATAATTACTTCTGAGTTCAAAATTTATCAACAACTTTATCTGATATAAATTATGTATATAGGCGTTTTCCAACGTATGTCGTGGTCTCTCGCTTCTTGTATACGCGGATTCGAAATCTCTAATGTACCAATGTAACTTTTTCCGAGTTATACCTATGTACTTTTTAAGATTAATTAAACACAATTGCGTCATATGGTGAAGGATGAAATCGCAAGGAAATATGAATTCATAATTGCTATTTCTAAGTTCGTAATCATCATAATTCATCTTGACCAAGAGCAAGCGTGATGCTAATGCTCTCATACTCCGTGTCAGATGAGGCCTCTGCTTATTAGTGTATACTTATTGGATGATTTTTTTAAACTACATCAAAAACAATACCTTCGTTTAAAATGTACGGAGGCGTATTGGTTAGAATAACCTGTTATTTCAACTATTTGCTTTCGTCCAACTGTTATTTCCATGGGCCAACTTTTAGACACATCCACTTAACAAGTAAGAAGAAAAATCCTAGAAAAGTTTGATTACAAGGCGGCTTTGGGTCCTGTTTTCATAACTACGATACTCCTGAAGGAATAAACGGTTTGATATCATCGGCTCGAACAAAAGTTTGGAGCCCTAGGGATATCGGGCGAAGTCCTATCTTCATCTTATATTGGTATTGTCCAAGTTGTATTTACTTTTATACGAATGCTTTTCTTCTTGGTTAGTGCGTTACAGGGAACGTATATTATGTACTGAGGTTTTAAATAAACATACGTACTGTTATGAGATTTGAAGATATTCAAATTTTAAATTCAAATTCTTAATGAGCATTTTGTATGTTAAATGACAGGTGGTACATTTTAGGGATAAGACTTATTAGGCACAGCTGAAAGATATCATGCAGTAACATAATTTATAAATCATTATAAATGTGCTTTACAATAAAATTAATGTATATAAAACTTTTTAGTATTGTATGTATGTGTGTGTGTTTGTGTGAGGATGTGCATGTGTATGTGATTGTTTTTATGAGTGTGCGCGTAAGTGCTTTTCGTGTGTTCAGATATTATTATTTTATATTCATATAGATTCTTAATTTTTCCTGATTCGTTTGGTTTATTTAGTGGCTCGGCGTAATCATATCTTTTTTTTTTAGTATACGATATAGAGAATCCAAAGACGACCTTATTAAGAAAAACACTGATTCTGACGTTCTATAGGTAATAATGATCACCATCACTAAAGTCTACGAGTCTCAGTATGTATGAGAATATGATGAACTGAATTATTTTTGACACAAATAATGCCGCAATGTAGGGTAAATATAATAAATTTTAAACATCCTTCTTTTTATGTCAGGTAATATTCTCTAATATTCCTTATGTGTGCGCGTCTTTCAATGCTCATTTATAAGTCGCCATACATGCGTGCTAGTAAATTTTTAAAAACCGATAAACCAATTATCCTAAGGTGGTTTGTATTAAATTTTTGAAGCTATCGCTTATCGACTTTATAAACAAGCCGATGTTGTTGAATTAAAGGGAATTTGTTTGCAAAATTGCCCCTCGGGGTATTAAAAAATTGGGTCTCGTCTGTGTATTTCAATTGGCTTCAAATTGAAACAGATTCGTTCGATTTTAAGAACAAGAATTGTATCGTATTAGGTAATTTATCTTACTTGGAAACCACTGAAAAGGTATAAATTTGAATTATATAAATATCTGTAGGGGTCTTTATTCTTAATTGCATGTCGTGTTTTCTTCTTAAAAACAGCCTTTTTATTTTATCGATACATAAATACGTCATTAACCACTTGCCTCAGAAATGAGTAATGTACAATAAAGAAGGTAAAGGCACTTATGACTATGAAACTATGAGTTTAGTTAGTTTCGATAACAAAGGATTTGTGTTATATTTCTTTTGTATACATTATGATAATAATAAGAGAATATGGAGATAAAGTACGCAGAAAACATTTATTTATTTCTACATATTACTTTGCCTTTACAGGTAACTTAACCTAATTCGACATAGTATATTAAAATATGTTTCCTAAACTATTGACCCTAAACTTATAATAAATTATAATAAACAACATAACCTATAATAAACTTATTTTCTATAAACTTATTTAACTTTAAATTACAAATTATATTTCCTTACATACTACACAGTAAGTGGTCCTTGTGAACAATGTAAGTATATACATTGGAAGTTTAAAAATAGGGTTACGTATGTATAATTATGGATCATTTTGTAATCAATGAAAGGAGTCGAAAAACTTCAAAGTTCAATAATAACAGGAATACGAGGTAGAGCTAGAATTGGCGAACTCACTGTGACAGTCTTGGAAAAAAAAAATGAAAAATCAGTTCTTTCCGCAAAAAATCTAACGGGTATAAAGGTTGCCAAACCATTTCGAATCGGTGACCGCGCTATCCGTCCCCAGCACACCATCTACATAGAATATAAAATATTTGCAGAGTTTTCACGTGGACAGGGCTTTCAATCAGCTGGTGACAGTTAGATTGAATCCAATATGGAGTGTAACCGATGGAATAACAGTAATTGACGCCCAGCGAATTCTTTTCAATGCGTAAATTAATATTTCGCTTGATAAAATTGCAGAACAGTAGAAATGATTACATCTGAATGAATACAATTTTTAACACAATGAAGTTTTTTTGAGCAATTTATGACGAATTACGAATTATTATTATTATTCTAGCTCACTCACAATTTTGTAATTGTGAGTATACTAGAATAATAAGCGTCAGGTTCACTACATGCCTAGTACCTATATAGTATAAGTCGCTTCCTCCTGTCTGCCCTAATGTATACTTAGACCTTTAAAAGTAGGTGACACATTTTAATTTGATTGAGTATAATGATTCAATAATTTATTGAGGTGTTTGGGCAAAATTGCGGGCAGGAGGCTATAGTCCAATAATATAACGAATAAAATTATTTTATCGAAAATTCAGCTGAAGTTTATTCAAACCTTTCAGTCATTTACCTTTGCATTCCACTAATATCCTTATAACAAAAAGGAAAGTATAGAACAATACTAAATTATCTGAGTACAGAAAGAACACAACAACTACATTGAGCTCTTCACCTTAGAGATTGCGTTACCCAAAAGTTGTTCTAATAAACTAGCGGAGACTAAAGTATACATAATTCAGTTACCTCTCAGAAATAGGTCAAAAGGATGTGACAACAGCCGTGTAAGGAACATAATGGAGTTGTGCACTTAGCCCGCTAATGCGTTGCGGGACTATTTATTTGTATTGACACCGATTGGCTAATGTCCTAGCACAATACTGGCGCGGCGCGACGCTCCTCGCTTTAAGATAAAACTTTTATTCAGTTTTATTTGTGACTTGAAATACGATATTATGAATTTTGTTTCATAATTGAATCAGTTCTCAGCCTATAAGTGCCCACTGCTGAGCAAAGGCCTCTTCTCACACGGAAAAGGTTAGAGCATTGATCACCACGCTTGCACAATGCGGGTTGGCGATTTCAAACTTGTAATTAGAAATTATAAGTCCAGGTTTTCTCACGATGTTTACCTTCGCCGTCAGTGGTGTCTAAATAATCATAGAAAGTACATATAACTCGGAAAAAGTCACATTGGTACTTGCCGGGTTTCGAAGCCAGACCCTCATGCATGAGAAGCGGGCTCTTTAACCTCCGGGCCACCTCGACATTTTTATTATTAAGCTTAAGCTTTAATGCCATCACACATTTTTTTTGTGAAGAGCCCTAGTTATACAGGGTGTAAGGGACAGCCTTCCGCAAACTGATAGGGTGGATTCAGTATATCGTCTTAAGTTGACCGGTACATGAAATTATTTCAGGAACGTTATGGGAATCCAATTAAACCGATTTGTTTCATTACCTTACACGCAATGTATCGCTACCACCGCAAACGCACGCAGCGAACGGCAGCGCTCTTATTATTATTACTTTACACTATAGGCAGCGCCGCGACCTTACGTTCAGACAAACGGTCGCGCTCGCGCCACGTTTTAATAACAATAAATTATTATTTAAAAGATAGCCGCATTACTTACAAAAGACAATGTAATAATCGCGCTCGCGCCACGTTTTAATAACAATAAATTATTATTTAAAAGATAGCTGCATTACTTACAAAAAAAAATCTAACAATCATAACATGGTACTTAACTGATAAATGATAAAAAAAGAAAAATGCGTAGGTACCTTAGAATCGCTCCGGTTTCCGGCTCTGGAAAGCATTTGTGATGCGGTCTCGCATTTCGTACTCACTTGCACACGCACTCACAAACACTTTTTCTTTTACGTAACCACACAAAAAGGGGTCCAAATGGGTTAGGTCTGGGGATCGTGCTGGCCACGGTTGCGGTCCAAACCTACCTAAACTACGTTTAAATAGGAAAGCACTGGTAAGTGGTAGCGTCTCCTTACGTTAGCGAACCAATTACAAAATCCACGTAGGTATTGGTCTTCCGGCGCCTTTTTGTCTGGGAACAATGGGCTGGTTTTCTAGCAAGCGTTGATAGTCACCAGTAATTATCCTGGAGTCTAATGGATGGCGACGGTCAGGATACCTACACTACTACAACACATTATCATCTCCCCATAATCACGCGCGCTAAACGTACCTAGGTAGTAATTTCGCACAATTTCTACAACAAAACTTCACTACACTTCACACACTACATAACTAATAAAACTTAACAACACTACTTATAACAAAACTTTTAAGCCGAATGCGCGAGCGATCCGTGCCGACACACGCTCGCGGTACACAAACAATAACATCGCAGCAAGGCACAATGGCGACTGCATGTGATGAGACACACACAAACATAAATCTGTTGTTGCCAATTATACGAAAATTACAAAATTTCGGGGTAAAAAATAAAAAATTATGCATGGTCGTAATTTATCATTCTGTTATTTTTTGTAGAGAAATGAATTGATTAAATCAATTTAATTCTAATTTCATTGTTTAGTTAATTTAGAATAATAAAAGTGCAGTGTGATAGAAAGCTGTGCTTCCATTCCAGGGAGATTGTGTTTAATTTCTGGCTCGACTATCAATTCATGGCTATTGTGAAGCCATGTAAAAATCTGTAAGTAGTTTAAAAACTAGCCAGTAATCGCTTAAAAAGAACAATCAATTAATAAATTAGGTAGTATTTGTAAATGCTTTAAAATTAAAACTAGACTAATCTTTATTTATTTCTTATTCAATTTATATGCGCGACAAGATTTTCATTAATTTTATTGATTAATGAAAATCTCATCAATGTAATTATGAATGCAAAGGAGTTCTCAAGTTTTAGATAAATTTCGCTAGTTCTAACATTTTTGTTTACTACCTGAGGTAACAAAAGTTAAAAATTGGCAACACTGGTTCAATCGGGCAAACATTGTGCAAAGAAGCGAAGGCGGGGCGATAGAAAGGGACGCAGCCACAGTATAAATATCATACAGTATTGTAACTCGGCCGCTTGAAAGAAATAAATACCTACAGCCGCGCGGTACGTAAACATGCGTTAGGGCTGCTCGTCTCCAGTATTTTAATTACCTTTGTCTACTTTCTGTTTCCATTTAGTTTTGTGATTGTAAATATCATTTTTTTTTATATAAACAAATAAAGTGCTTTAAAAATAAACAAACAAAATTTCTTTGCCCACTAATGCCGAACTGAACAGCTGACTACGAATGTTCTAAAATCACAACCCTCAAACATCAAAATATTACATGAGTCTACTTAGCTGTTTTATTGTTGTTATTAAATATTTTCTAGTATTATTCATAAATGCAGATAATAAAGAAATATTATTAATAATAAAATACCACACTCTCTACTTTGAATTATACAAACTAACAAAACATACATGAACCGTTTTAACACAAGCGTAAGTAGGTAGGTACTTACTTACTATAGGTTCTATTAAGTTAGTTTTTGAAATCTGATCCAACAGACAAACTGTGTATACAGTTTTGTTGGACATTTTATACTTTTTATAATGTAAATTGTACCTGTTAAGCAATAATAAATAAATAAATAAATAAGGTACCTAACGTATCATGATTCATTCAGAACCAGAACCGCCTATAACTACCTATTTCACTCGTCTCAATAACTTTATTCATATTATTTATAAATTCAAACATCTGTTTTCGTGAGATAACTGGAAATAATGATCCATAAAGACACACATTATGTACCTACCTAGGCTACTAGTAAGTAAAATTATTTTATAGTCTTACCTTTCAGAGTTTCCAGGTAATTTAAAAAAAACTTATGTCTGGATGCGTTATTGACGAATTCATGCAACCAAACATATTATCAGCACAATATTTCCTATTCGTCATATTAAATAATGTACTCGAGCTGATTTCTAAATAAAAGACAACACACCGTCCGTTCGTCACTGCGGTACAGCCGCGTCTGTCTGCGTCCCGAGCGCGTCCCGACATCGGGCGCGTAGGTATAGTTCGCGTTTCGGCCGTTTCTATGAAGTTGAAATACTTGTAGATATTATTACCTTGACGCAGCTATTCTGTACGTTGGACGGGATCGTAGGTATTATACCTACGGCGCGCGGCGCGGCGATCGGCGCGGTGGGGCGCCGAGCCGCTGCGCCGTGACCGCGGTGCGGTGAGTTCAAACGACTCGCGCTAGGTAGAAATTGAACAACTGATTTCATGCGTAGTTCTTTAGAGAATTCACACAACCATTGCGTATTTTTTTTGTTTTAGCTGTGTTATTTACATTAATGTTATTCTTCATACATAGAATGTAATTATACATTGAAATAGAGGTGTAGGAACTGAAAAAACGAAAAAAAAATTGAAAATTTTCCTGAAAGAATTTTCACTGGAATATGATTCAGAATAAGGAGCTGAATGCACCCTGTTAATTTGTGGAGGGCTGTCCCTTACACCCTGTATAGTTACTTTTCTCCTAGGGTATGGTGAGAAAGAGTTTCAGACTATTACTGACTAAAAACCACCGTTACTACTTTGCTGTAGACTGAGGATGCGGTACTTTAATGTGCTTGACTTTCAACCCTGGCTAAACATCAGTCCTGTTGGCTCTCTGAGGCTCGCGTGGAATAATTAATTTAATATGACTTTTTTACTGTGACACAACGCTTAATATGTCGATTTATTTTCATAGTTTGTATCCGTCATTTGTGTTTGTATAATTTTTGTATAATGTTAAATTCAAACATAACCCAAAAAAACTTTTATCAACATTGCTTTGTGAGCGAAAAGTTTGTATAGAATTCATATTTATGTTAACTAATTGTTTAACGTGATAGACTAAAACTCACTAGTAAAACAATAGTCAAACGGCAAACTTGGACATACAGAATTCATACGTTCCCTAGTCGAAATTATTAAATGAAATCACAAACATTTAAACTTACAAACCCCTATTACAAAAGTAAACACTTTGTAAAATTGAAATTGAATTTGAATTTGAACATTGTTGAATCAATGCAACTTTATTGAAACATTTCGTTGGTTGGTTGTTAACCAATTAAACAATTGCATAACTAAATTGTTCGGTTGGCGCGAATAGATTTTGAGTTAGAAACAATATGGCGTCGGTCGCGACCGTTGCATTTAAACGTACTCGTACATTCGTTTAAATTCGGTTTTTAAAATGTATAAAATGATTATTATATTTTTAAACGACTGCCCAAAAATGAGTGTTATGTTTTTATACGGTTCATGTATGTATGACCCAGGCAGAATTAGACATAATTCTGCCATATAGCATGTCGTTGGAATCCTTCAATCATCCCGGGTGGCATAGGATAGGTTGTGTCTTAATAAAATCATGGGGATGCTATAGGGTTTAAATGACAAATGAGATAATTTAATAAAGCATGTGTTTTGTCAAGTCATTATCATATAAAGAGTTTGAAAAAAAGATTACAAAAATATATATCTTATATTTCTATTTTGAGACATTTTCAAGAAAAACACATTTTTATTATGAGATCAATTTATTTCTTCGACGAGTAGCACTCACTTAAATTTACTTTTTCGTGACTAATATTTTTTAATTATAATTTTGTACTTAAACTTTAACAATTGCAAATGCTTACCTAATACCCGAAGTCGTTGGTTTACTCTCATTAAACATTTTATCACTAAAATGAGCATTTTTTATTTTTTATCATTATTATTTTTTAGATTACGTTACATACTTAAAACTATTTGAATGGAACATGTTAACGACATTTAAAAGTCAACTTGCCATTTAAATTTGGAACATTCGATTTTCTTAGCAAAATAAATATTATTTTAATAGCCTACTCAGGCCTAGCTATTTAAATACTAATCGTTGTAGCTATGACTTCATGATAAAAGTGTGTCACCTAGCACCTAGGTCGTCACTCGTTTCATTATACGACGCTCTGCGAACAGATTCTAGTCACAAAGAACTAATAGACAGTAAGTCAATAACACCTTTTTGAACTACAAAATTAAGGGTTTTCTGTAAAGTAAACTCCACCTCATTTTTAATTTTAATTCGATTTATTAATTATATGGTTAATAAATACGTACATTAGCGTAAACTAAAATCTTTATTAAATTTTTTATGACTACTATGAATAAAAATTTAATTAATTATGTGTTAACCAAAAATCCCATATTTTGAATCGATAAACTCGAATCGATTTTACGTATTTGGTGGTAAGTCTGCACCCACCATGGGCACC